CTTTCTTCACATCCAGCTTGGCTATCCATGTGGGGAGGTTCCACTCGACCCCTACTCTGACCACTTTCCGCAGGACCATGATGAGCTCTTCCGCTTGCTTTCCTTTCCACGCCCACTGAGCTTCGGTTAGCGGTTGCAGGTGGTGACTGCATCGTCCCAGGAGCAGCTGCGCGAACCACTTGAGGGTTGTGCTGGAGAGGGTGATCGGTCGGGTTTGCCCCCATTCCAGCGGGAGGGCCACCTTGGGGAGTAGGATAGTCACCCCATCCCCCATGCCCCCATACAGCTTGCCTGTGTACAGGACGTCATTGAATAGGTAGAGGAGCCTTTCTCTCCACACATCGTCTTGCTGGAGCGCCCCCAATGCTTCCCAGGAGATCTCGTCGACGCCGGTTGCCTTTCTCCGCCCCCAAGTTGTGGTTGCGGCTACGAGGTCGCCTTCCTGGAAGGGGACCCAAGCAGTTTGTTTGCATAGTCCCCGAAGCTTGTGCCGAATCTGGTCGAAGGCTTGCCTCACTTGTTCCCTTGGGAGGGTCGCGAAGGTCCCCTCGAAGTGCTTCTTCAGTTGTTGCTGCCACCCATCTTGCCCCGTGAGTTGGTGTTCCCAACGCTTACTTTGAGTCTGCTTTCCCAGGGCTCGGAGCTCGCCCCAATTCATGCGCGCCGCGGCGAGCACTTTGCGTTGCATCCAGGCTCGTCGTTCTTGCTTCCTGACCTTCCACACCATCTTCCACTTGCCCCGCCTTTCCTCCGGCGTTGCTATCTTGGCTTGTGCTCGTAGGTGCTTCAGGTCCTCGCTCTCCTGCCAGGGTTCGCCTCCTTGTCCTGCTGGGACCGTGATGGCTTTGGCAGCTTCCGCGATGACCGTGTGGGGATCCCCTTTCCAAGTTTGAAGGAGACCAGCTCGGACTTCGTCATCGCTCTTGAGGATGCGGGCCCCCCACTTAACTTCTATCGTGGCCTTCGCCGGGAGCGAGCAGTGCACCGGGATCACGACGATATCATGGTCTGACTGGATGATGTCCCTGGTCCCTTCTAGGACGGCCCCTTCATCTGTTCTCAGCTTCTTGACGGCAACATAGTCCAGGCGTCTGGACCTCATGGCGGTATTGTAGGGGTGGTACGTGGGCTTCTCCAGCTCTTGGTCAGGAAGACGTAGTTGTTGCTCGTCCATCCATTGCAGGACCATGTCCCCTCTCCCGGTTTCAGCTGCCACCCCTTGTTCGAAGTCCAGGAAGCTCTCGTTCAGGTCCCCCCCAAAGACAGCTTTGGGTTGCATCATAGCAGCGCTTTCCCCCCACCTCCCGAGCAGTTGTTCAGTTTTGGCGGCCGTCGCGTGATGGGGGAGATGGGCTGAAACGACGCCGATGGCCACCATTTGATGTCCAGTTTGGATAGGTCGCCTCGCTTCGCCCCCTTCAGTGTTCAAGTCGCCCGTCTCGCCCCCTCGCAGAACTAGCGCGATCATGCCTTCCGTGCATTCCACATGGGCGTGGCTGTGCTGCGCATGTCGATATGCAATCCCCTCACCTCTCCACTCTGCCGCTGTCTTGCCCATCACAATGGTCCAGTCTTTTGAACTCTCTGCGTGGGTGCCGGCTTCGCAGATCACCTCTTGGAGGGTCACCACGTCAATGTTGGCAAGGATAGAATGTGGTCCACCCCCCCGAACAAAAGTTTGGAGGACGGCGAGGATCTTTGTCGCCCCGGCCCCTCCAACGTTCCAGGTGAGTGCATGCAGTGCTGAAGAGACGGTTTTCCCCCCGTCTCGGGGGTGAAACTTGCCACGTCGCTGTGTTTGGCGTCACTGGAGAGCTCCACGGAGCCCCGCCCATTGCTGGTTCACATTGTCGGCGGCGATGCGGAGTTCCTTGGCCAGCTCCTTGAAGTCGAACCACCCGGCCCCCACTTTGTCCGCCCCTTCTGCTGCTGGGCTGACCGCCGAGGAGACGCGGGTGCCTCGGTACCACACCGTCCCCGTGGCGAACTCCACCTCCAAGTGCTCGTGTCGGCCCCCCAACTCCAGAACGCAGCGTTTGACCTTGGCGGCCAGCTTGGCTCTCATCCGGCGCTCCGGAGGCTGGGAGATAGTGAGGTACATGTAGCGAGGTTGCCCCGTGTCTTGGCGGACGTGCCCCGTCTGTAGCTTGGCATTCCTGACCTGCGCGATCGCCGCCTGGACTCGTTGACGGTGCCCCTCCCCACTTTCCCCGGCGCGGCCCGTGAAGTGGTATGAGTGCGAAGCCCCTGCGAATGCCGGGGACGAACATGTCCTGGTAGTCAATGTCAACCTGCAGCTGCCTCAGCACCTGCGTCGCCTTTTCGATGACTTCATTGGCTGGAGTGTTGTCGTTCCAGCCCCCAACCACCAGCGCTGGAGCTCTTCGCCCCCCAATTCCGTCCCCCTCTGTTGTGGCGGTGCTATGGGCTGACGGTCCTCTACCCCCACCGCCGGCCTCAAGCTTCTCAATTCTCTCCTCCAGGCTTCGCTGACTCATTTCGAACTTCTCCTCCAGCGCCTTCTGCCCCGCCGTCAGGTTGGATACCGCCTCCTGCTGGATGTCGTGTTTATCCGTGAGTTGCTTGAGCAAAAGGAGGGTGGTCTGGAGTTGCTTGGTAACCTCCGATTCCACCACTTCAATGCGTTCCGCCATCTCCTTCTTGACCCCGCCCATGGCGTCGTGTATATCCCCCTTCATGGCCGCTTGGTGCCCCTTCAGCTCGGCCCGGAGGAAGTTTTCCAAGGAGAGTCTGTCCCCCCCGTCGACATCCACCACTTCCTCCACTGCTTTGCGCTTGGAGGGGGAAGAGTGGTCCCCTGGCAGCCCCCCAGACGAAGACATGGATCACACTCACGGTGGCGATGCCCAAGTCACGACCCCTGGGTTCACAATGTCCCTGGCGAAGTTCAGGAAGTCCCCGGACCCCCGGGTAGACACCCTCAGTGCGTAGGGCCGCCGATCTCCCTCCCAAAGCGGTCCCTAATGTCCCCCGCTCGCCTCTGCGGTGGTAGAACAGCTCGACGGCCAGCAGCGGTTCACCTCGTGCAGCGATCTTTCCCCTCTCAAAGTCCACAACCCCCGCGAGGAAGGCGTGTAGTACAGCAAGGCCACCCTCGTGCTCGTATGGCGGCGCGGGGGGGGCTTTTCTCTCTCAGGCAGCCCCTCTTCTCACTCTGTTACACCCTCTCTTCACAGGTTGTCCCCTGGACGATGGGCTGGGGCTCGAGCCGCTCGTTTCTTGAGCCAAAATGGCTACGTCTCTCTCTCTCTCTCTCTCTCCCCCTGCTGCACGCGTAGCCCCCCCCCGGAGGGAAGGCTGCCCCAAGGGGCGTGCGAAGTCCAAGGGTCCGTCTCTCTCTCTCTCTCTCGCTCTTTCGTTCTTTCTTTGTTTCTGCGCACCCAATTCTCCTCATTCGAAGGGGCCGCCCGAACACGTGTGTTGCTTTTGTCTCCTCTTGCTGTGCTTCTTCTTCTTCTGCTTCTTATTCTTCTTCTTCTTATTCTTCTTCTTCTTCTTCTTCTTCTTCTTCTTCTTCTTCTTCTTCTTCTTCTTCTTCTTCTTCTTCTTCTTCTTCTTCTTCTTCTTCTTCTTCTTCTTCTTCTTCTTCTTCTTCTTCTTCTTCTTCTTCTTCTTCTTCTTCTTCTTCTTCTTCTTCTTCTTCTTCTTCTTCTTTTTCTTCTTCTTCTTCTTATGCTTCTGCACGCTTGAGCGCCCCCCGAAGGGGGGCCGCGACGGCCAAGCAGGTGTCCGGTCGGGTCAGTTTAGTGATCAGACAACACACACACACACACAATTTCTTTTCTTTCTTTTCTTTCTTTCTTTTCTTTCTTTCTTTCGTTCTTTCTTTCTTGGGGCACAGAGGTGACCCCCTGCGCACTCAGCGCGCCCCGACGTTGTTGTGAGCTCTCCTGTCTCTAATCTGCCTCATCTCTCTTTCATCTCTCTTTCATCTCTCTTTCATCTCTCTTTCATCTCTCTCTCTCTCTCTCTCTCTCACCTCTCTTTCATCTCTCTTTCATCTCCCTTTCACATCTCTTTCATCTCTCTGTCATCTCTCCCTCTCATCTCCTTTTCATCTCTTTCTTCTTCTTCTACGGGGCATGAGGAAGGGTTCCCCGCTCCCCGCGCGCTAGGCGCGCCCAGCAACGCGGTCCATCCAGGTGATGCTGTTTTCATCTCTTTCTCTCTCTCTCTCTCTCTCTCTCTCTCTCTCTCTCTCTCTCTGTCTCTCATCTCTCCATCATCTCTCGGAACATTTTCGAAATATTTACCACGAACACGTTGTAGCTATTCACCATTCGGAATCAGGAACACTTTGAACGCGTTCACCACTCACCCCCCGATAAGCAAAACTTTGTAGGTATTCACGCTCAGCCCCGATTAGCAAAACCCCTGGAATCAGGAGCCGTGAACAAGAAAGCGCTCTTAAAAAGTGACGACAGTCACGAGGATGGCACTACCCACGAACCTCATCCTCGTGAATCTGTGACAGTTACGAGGATGAGATAGCATGAGGCACCTCCAAAACGCCTGAGAGGCCTCAACCGTCGGCACTTTTAGGCATGCAAAGACCCCGGGTTTCCGGAACTACAGCTCGATAATCGGATGCTTTCGATTGCCTCGCGAACACAAAAAAACGCACGATGTAAACTCCCCAACCTCTGGAACCCCAGCTCTGAAAATGGGAAACGCATTCGGGAATCCACAACGCTATTGTATACTAGCAATAGACCTCCCATCAGGACATGCGCAGCGCACAGTCGGCCCGTCCACATCCGAGCTGCAAACAAGGAACACAATGCACAACATACACTCCGCAGAACCCCCGCTGCAAACCTCAGACATCCTTAAACCACTGAGTCAGGCTTCGGATGCTTCAGCTTGGAACTTGGGGCGTTCGGAAATTTTAGTGCTTAGAGACCACCTTATCAAGGCTTCAGGGTCCATTTTTGAAGGTCTGGGACCATATCCACAACCCGAAGTAAAACCCTCATCGCCTCCTTCGCTGAGAGCCGCTGCTCCGGGCTCTTCTGCAGAAGCTTCTTAATCAGCTCCTCTTCAAGATGCTTCAGAGGAGCTTGAAAGGAGTAGCACTCCTTGACCCTCGAAGTTGCCTGCAACCTAAACCCTCAAACACACGCACACACACACACACACACACACTCACACACTGTTACACACTTTTTCCTGACCCCTCCCCCCCGAAAGGATTAATTGGATGTGCTCACTCTCTCACAATCTGGCATGCTCAGATCGACACAAGCACAACTCAACAAGAACTTCAATGCTTCGAAAACTGTTTCTCCATGGACAAGGGATGGCGTCCGATCCCTCATCCAGCTGATGTCTGCAGCGAACCCCTGCTGATAAAGCAAACTTGTCCAAACAGGCTGCCCCACACACACACACAGAGACAGACAGAGACCCCAAACTTCTGAACGCCCAAATCCCGAATGTCAAAACCCTTAACTAGTCCTCTGAAGGGTTTAGAGTTTAGAGGTTTCGGGTGGAACGTTCAGGGGCTCCATTCTTTCAGTACGTAACTCAAAACCATCTGCAAAACAATGGTCCTTGGCTGGCTTGGACACGCCTTGGAAGGCTTCTGGCGGAAACGTGATCTTTGCCAGCTTGACCTCGTGGTGCATACTGCCCTATAACCTCGACTCGAGCAACCTTGAACCCTCAACACGAGAAGGAAGCAAAGAAGGCAAGAAGCGCAACACCATGAACCCCCAACTCCCTAAAGCTCACCTGAATCCCAGAGCCCGAGATCGCAGACGTCGGATCCCAGAGGAGCGGGCCTTGTTCAAGGTGGCCTTCGTCCCCTCGCCCTTAAACGGGAAGATGCCAGACAGCAAGATGTACCTCGGCAGACTCTTCGGCAGAGCGCGTTCTCCTTCTCTTGCTGTCGAAGCGTTGGACAACCCAAAACTTACATCCTCCAGGTTGACACACACCAGCACGGTACGCCCAGTTTGCCTCGCTATCTCACAAAGAAGAGGGGAAGGGGGGCACATGGGGGCACATCCGGGACCATGACGCCTTCACGTATCTTCACGTGCGTCTCAAGGCCTCCACTCAGCCCTCCGCATCACGACCCCAGCACTCCAGCAGTCGACCTTCTCACTGTACCTGGTAGGAGCTTCACGCGAGGCAACCCTGAACTCTCCAGAATTCTGAGGTTTATCGCTGGGGGTCCAACAAAACACAGAAGCATACGTTATAGCAATTTTTGCATCACCACCTGTCAACCTGCCGTGAGCCTGTCAGAGGTTCAGAACCTTACAGACTTAAGGGCTCAGGGATTTAGGGTTCAGAGGGGGTGCAATGCGTGGGTCCGTTTCGAGATTCTTGACGCTTTAGGCCTAGGAGAGAACATCCATGAACCCAAAAGCCCGTATCGAAGCCGCGAGCCTTACAACAAAAAACACGCACACACACACACACACACACACACAAACACACACACACACACACACACACACACACACACACACACACACACACACACACACACACACACACACACACACACACACACACACACACCCTAAACCCCCGTCTAAACCCAGTAGAAAACTCAGGGTGGGCTGAGCCTGGCGAATCCCGGCAGCACCTCTGGCGCCACATAGTATGGCCTTCCCCATGGGTTCCCCAAGCAGTGGGGAAGGGATAAAGGGAGATTGCACCATCGAAGCTTTGCTGGCATCGGAATCAGCGGGCTCAAGAACACTCCCTCACCTCAAGCCTTTTGCAATTGTACTCCAGAAACGCACTATTCACGATCCTCGCGCATACGGCCAAGACGCGCAACCAGAGCCCCTCAACGTTCACCCAAAACAGCTGAACAATATGCAGGCGGCACGTGCCAACTTTCGAGGAAAATGAAGCCACTGAATGTCGACTGGCCTAGCATGGGACTGTGGACAGGTTGTTCACTTGTTACGTGGGAAGGTAGAAGGTCTTGGGTTGGTACCTGCTGTTGAAGGTCTGCGCCCAGGAAGGGAGAACAAACTGGCGTAGGTTGTGAGTCGTCTGCTTCAACAAGATAGTAAACTGGTTCGATTCATTATAAACCAGCATTGTCAAGTGTGAAACGTTTTTGGGAAAAGCGACCACCCACTCGTAGTTGCTTTTTTGGCTTCTGCATTTCAAGATTTAACAAGAGACCCTGCTTGCAGAACATGCGGCAATACATAACGGGTTCATGGTCATCCTACGCTCATGTATTGCGGACATCTACAGGCCCTAAGCGACTATAACAACTGCAATCTCTTGCGTTCCCAAGCTTTGTACCCTGCATGGGAGGCACTGCCATTGCTAACTAAGTGTAAGGTTCGTTTGGGAGCCGGCCTGCTCCGTGGCGTTGCTCTTGTTTTTGTAACTGTTTTACTGTTGTTGATATATTGTTGTTGTTTGTGCTATTGCCATTGTTATTCTTATTGTTATTGTTACTGTTATTGTTGTCACACAAAGGCGCGCTCCAGCCAGGACAGGGCAACACCTAGAACATGCTACCAGAAACAGACTGTGGAAGACGCAAGAGGGCAGCAGCGCACACAGGGCAAGAAGCACGCCCATGCACCGCAATTTGATTCGAGCGAAGGGCGAAAACAAACGGGCAAGAAGACCGGGGCGCTATCCGGTCAAAGGACTTTGGTAGAGCCCCTGGGGACCGCGGCTTCCTTGAAGGATCCCAGTGCACAAGCTGCTAATGATACGTTATTGGCGTCAGACCAACACAAAAGAATATGAATATTTGGTTGCAGGCCTCACTACGTGGAAAACAAGAAGTTGCAACCGGCTTGTCTGGGAAAACGCGCCAGCAGAGACATAGCAGCAGAGATATTTTAAAAAAAACACACCGCTCTGAGTCTGGAAGTAACGAGTACTGTTACACTTGGTGAAGGCTGCCTGCCAGCTGCAGAAGTACTACCAGAGCTGAATATAAGCCTCAAACCCCCCACTACCAAGAACGCCCTTGAATTTGCCCGTGAAAAAATCCAACCGTGCCGGTTGCGAATTGCTTTTTCCCACGTAGGACGGCACTGTTGTGTTTTGTCTTACAAGAAGCCCAAAGGTGCCCCTGTCATCAGGCTATAAATTCTGTGTTTTTAGCATTTGGAGGGCTTGAACCAAGACGACAAATACGGGCCCCAACTATGAAAACAACCTTTGCCTCGAGCCAGTTTCAATATTGGGCAAGAACTGAGCCTAGCAGAAGCTGGTAGGTGTCCTTTCGTAGTGACAGCACGGACTTCCGCAAAGGCGAATATCTTGGCGTGATCAGCCTCGAAGTGCGCCGCGATGCCAAAGTCAATGATTTTGAGAACGTTGTCTGGCGTGGGGGCTTGCAAGTCTGTGCTGTTCATTGACTGACGCTGGTCCCATTCAAGACATGCGACCACACGCTTCCTGAAAATTACCCGAACACTCGGGTCCCATGAACCATATCACGTGAAGAGAGTGAAGAAGCAAAGCATGTTGGTGCTCCTCTGATTGGCGCTTTCTTCAAGAAGAGGAAGTTTTCCTCGTGCTTCATAGGGCTCATGATCTCCAGGCATTTTGAGGCTTTTAGCTGCTGAGGGCTTCGAGAAAGGATTGGAGTTTTTCTGAGCCCAAACCTGCCGTGACTCTACGCCGCCCCAGCGGACTCTGGGCTGTCATTTGCATGAGAGTCTCTGGAAATTCGGGTAGGCTCTTCAAAGGGCTTGGTACGACTTCAAGACTTTGGGCTGCTGCATGGGCTCTACCGCCGACACCTGAAGCACCCTCGAAGCACAAAAGACACTCAATATAAACTCACCAACATCTGCAAGGTACCCTCCATACACCCGACCCTGCGCACTTGAGTCCTGAGATCAAGCCTCGGCTACGTACGCATTCCACAACAAGCCCCTCCCCTCACAGAAACCAAGACTAGACGAAAGCACCGAGCCCACGACAGGCTTCAAATCACGATGGCAGACTCCATTCTGCATCAGGGCGGCTTTCTTTCATCATGCTTTAGGCTGGCGTTTGGGCTTCCTATTGTGTCTGAGTAAAAGGACAGCTGAGCGCTAACGGTTTAGCAGGGTTTAGGGCCTGTTTGGGTTTAAGGGTTTTGGGCCAAGAGCACAAAAGATTCGAGGGCTTGGACATCCCGCTACGAACTGTCGATTGAGCGCGTTGCTTCTTGGTATCCACCGGTTCTGCTTGTCGAAAGAACGTGCTCGTCGTGCTGATATAGCACAGCAGACACCAATCAGATCAGAAGGGGTGCTCGAGTACCCATCATTCCCTCAGGTCCCAGCACCTCGCGCCTCATGCATGTACACCATCGCTTTAAAGATTTGCTGCATGATGGTGGCCTCGGTTAGCCAAGACGGCATCTGAGGCTGATGTGACAATGCTAGCTGGCACTGCTAGTCAAAGATCATACGATATAAGCTATATCAAACTTACCCTGAATGAGCATCCTCAGCGAAGATTTAGCGGATGCCACTAGCCGTTTACCAACTCAAAGTCATCTTGCGCAATGCCAGCCCATCATCATGTGCGTATACTCACTTACTTGTTCCAACGTCTTCTGGCAAAAGACAACTCGAATGCCCTCGCCCCTGAATCCACATTCCACATGGCTATGGAAATTCACACGGCAACTCACCCTCCGCTGCGACCCTCCAAGACCTGAAAGTTCATCTCTGCAAGCTTGCACTTTTGGTTCTCTGTTTGAATCCGAAATCCTGCACCACTACACCCGAAGCATCGAAACATCTTGAAACACTCACGGCCCGTGGCTGCATCAGCCTCGGACATCCTGCCCTGCGGATGGCAAGCCCCATGTGGGGGGTTTCCGAAATTGCGGGTTGCTTATTGGGGTCCTTGCTAAATGGGAATCTGATACTATTTGGGTGTCTATAAAAGGGGTCGCTTATTATCGTCAACCCGCGTGTTAACCCAGACGTTTAAGGCATCGGAGCCAGAGCCGATCAAAGGTTGCGGTACGCCCTTCCTCCTTTGTTCCCTGGGCATCGGCAACGTTCGTTGTCCCTAAGACAACCTTGAAACTCAGTGCTGCCCCATGCAGCCGAAATCCTGGAACCCTAAAACTCAAACCGCACAGAAGCTAAAGAGAAACAACCTAGAAACTTGAACCCGCAAACTCAAACGAGCAGACGCCTGCTCCAAGATGGCATCAAAAAGTTCCCCACCCTTGCAACACCTGGGCTGCAGAGGGTGACAGTTTCAAGGTTTACAACGAAGGGCTTTGCGGCTTCTGACAGAGTTTCGCCGCAGAGCAGATTCTTTTGCTGAGCTGCAGCACATCACAGAGATCGGAAGCTTTGTCAGTAATCACGTGGCATCTCATCATATCAAGAAGTGCCACCGCCCTTGGACTCATTGGGCTGGCGCTTTGGTAGGATTTCAATAACTACCGCTGAGGGGTTGCAAACCCCGGCAGCAGTAGCGAGACTTGACCGAGAATTCGGCTCCATGATCAAGTAGATCTGCTTGGAGTCCTCAAAGTACTGGAAGACCTTGATGATGTTCCTCAGCACACCCCAAACCCGTACACCCAACAGACACCAAAAAGACAAACCATGAACCCCTTCGACCTCGGAACTGGTGCCCAGTTGAAGTAGACAGCAGTTTAAATACGGCGTGCGGCTAAATATTCTGAAGCACATATCACCCAAGGTTTAGGTTTTCAGATACATGGCTTAGGTGGGCTAGTCTGGGCCAGCCACGGATGATCCATGGAGAACATGGTCTTCATCTCTCGCTCCAGCCTCCAGGCTGTAGGACACAAACACGAATCCGCTCCAACCATCTTCAAGACCCCTCCCCGCACCCCCCTGCCCCCTTGTCAGCTCATTTGGTCACACACCGTCTTACAAGCTGCCAAAGCCCCAGGGTTCAGTTTTCTTCTGAGGTCTCCCACAACCGCTCTTGGAATAGAGGACTCCTCATGTCCCACCCCAAAAACAGCCCAACGAATACTAAGGAACCTCCTTGATCCTCTTTTTGATCCTCGCAAGTTCCCCCCTGATCCTACACTCACAGCCCAAGCATGCTCGAACCCTCGGCCTCCCATTCTCTCGTTCTTTTTGGGGCACCCGCTGCTTCACGATGATTTTCAACGCCTCACGCGGTAAACGAGTCTTTCTGTCCAGCGTATTCGGGAAGCTTGGGGCAGCCCCAACGTCGGTGGATGCTTTCGGATGTTTAGGGTTCACAAAGATCAAAGCACGCCAGCACGGCCCGTTCGATTCCCGTCTTCTTCTCCTGACAGCGACCTGGGTCACGCACACTACATCTAGAGCCTTGAGTGCTTTGGGAAGCCATGCCTTTCAAAACTTTGGGGCATTGAGGTGCTTGAGGTGCTTGAAGGGGTTGAGGGTACGGGTTTCTTTTTCGTATCTTCATGGGGCAGTTGCCAGATTTCGGGGTAGGTTGCTGATAGGGCCCGGGGCTTGGCAGCTCCTGGTTCAGAAGCTCACTGAAGGTCTTCCGGGCCTGCGACTCCGTTGTAAGCTTGAATGAAGAAGTAAGAGAACCCTCGGCTCCCAAGCCCAGACCCGAACCATGAAAACCCCTCCTCCCATTGCCTTTACAAGGTGTGACAATGGTCCGTGGGTGCCGAGAGCACTGCAGACTTTGGCGAAGCCGCCCTCGCCCAGAAGATCACTGGGACGCAACGTAGGGCTTCAGCGTTCGTTTGAGGCCGGGGCTTCATACCCTAAAGACCCCGAATTTTCAACAGCAGACAACGTACTTTCGTGGCTTCGGATACGTTATTTGGGAGAGGTTTGGCAACCGGAAACTCCAAAAACAACAGGCCCAAATTAAATGTGCTGTGCCCTAGGTTTTGGGCATGTGGATGCGTTCAGGTCAAGGTGTTTGCACTGGTTGTCAAGGTGCAGGAGCCTCAGACCCTGAAGACCAGAAAGCTCTGGAACCTGAGCCTCAGCTCTCGCCTAAATACGTGTTGGTCAACGTTATCATCCTGCGGGCATGGATGCTCTGATTTCGCACGCAATGGTATGACCCAACCACCGTGCGGGCATGAATGCTCTGGTCAACCACACGCACGGGCAACATGCACGTAAACACGGGCATAGATGTTTTGGCCATTCACACGCACGGGCAAAAAAACGTGCAGGCATTGATGCTGGCGTCCATGAGAACATGGGCGCATTGAATCAAAAGCAAGAACAACACCGTGTTGTCAGAGAGTGAAAAAACTACAAAACCGAGACGTTCGAGTGGTTCCCACAGGGAAAGTCACAACCAGCGAAAACTCTGACAGCATGATGCTTTCATATGTTTTCGATATGCGAACCACACGAAACAGTGCAATTTACCGATGTCGCCAGGGTCTCGCCGGCGCACGTATCATCGCGTGGGCATGGATGCACTGGCGACGTGCATGCACCGGCCACATGAACACAAGCATCGTGAGGCGTGGACGCTCTGCGCAACGGATGAGCCGGTGACAAGGACGTGATCATCGGTCGACCATGGAAGCTCTGCGAAACGGATGAGCTGGTGACAGAGGCGTCATCATCATTCGACCATGGATGCATGGATGCTCCGAGGAACTGGGACGATCGGAAGCGAGGCAAGACATTGCGAGACGATGTGTTGTCAGCAGGCAAAGAAAAACTGCAAAACCGTAGGCTTCTCATGGCTTCCCCGAGAGAAAGTTTCTGCGCTTAGAGTCCTTTGGGTATGAGGCTTAGAGGCTTAGAGGTTGGTGTTGAGGTTCAGGAGCTTAATGTGTTGCAGGGTCCATGGACCACGGCGGTCGAGGTCAGCCGAGCCTACTGTAAATGAGGATAGGATCTCCAACCTGTCGTTTCCGCTTCAGCTGCCGATGCAACGATAGGGACCGTGCTGCTCATCGAACTCAAAGTAGTCCCGCACATCCTGATCAGAAAAGGAGAAACCTGCACATCGTGGGATTCTCGTACCGGTTTTGGGATGTGCGTCTCTTTTCGTCATCAGCAAAAAGGCACTCTAAGGTCTGCAACTGTTGCTTGTGAACCGGTAATGAGCCCATCTAAACGCCGGTGAATGCTGACACATTAGCCCGAACATGCAACAAGCTGGGATGTGCCACCTTGCCAGAATTCTCCACGAAAAAGACCTCCGCGTTTAAGGAGTCTAGAGAGTCTCGGGCTTGTGTCCGCACGAGAACAAAGCCCTGACTGGCTCCACGAATCGTGAGTGCAGTTTTCCATGCCTAAAATGCATAAAAAAACTGCTCAAAAGCTGGTGCCGGAAGACAGCGAAGGCCAAGGGCCCTGGCTTTCTGAGTCGGACCTCGACCCCGGTGCCCCTGGCAGGTAAGCGTGCGTCTGAATGTTGAAGAAGGTTTTGCTTTCGAGTTTTCTGGGTTTGCAGACTGGGGTTCAAAGTCCAGGGAAAACGTTCTCTGCTGAGGCCCTCGGGCAGCTTGCTTTTGCGAGGAACCGTCGGGTTTGAGCTTGGGGCTCCGACACGGATTCCAACAGGATTTACTTGAACTTAAAAATCCTAAGCCCCAAGTCGGAACATCCTCCGGTTGACCCCAGGGCAGAATCTCTGCACCTCAAAACGAAACCCCTCAACAGCCCACACGTTGGATTTCCGGGTTTTCGCAGCATACCTGGTTCGGCTGTCACAAGTCAGGGCTTGTTTGCGGCTTATCGGGTTTCAGGCTGCACTTCTCTGCTCGGTGCACCCGATGATGGCCGTCGCCACAGCCAAACGGGTTGCAGTACCTGGCAGCAAGCCGTGCTGCTCACTCAAACGATTCAAAAGTGCTGGCCAGCTGAAACAAAATAGCCTACTGACAACAATAAAAGAAGCTGTTGACAGGGACAATTTGTTTTTGCGTGCCTGGCGCAACAGCTGGCAGACTCCCCACCTAAGCAGCATCGTCAGGGCAGAAGTCAAAAGGTTTCTTTTCCTTGGGTTGCTGTGGGAAGGACATGTTTGCTTGGTGGAAGTGTGCATTTGGAAGAAGGAAGCAGTGATATAGTGCCAAGCTGCTTTCCACCGCCAAGCTGGAAGTCTCGGAGTCGCTGCCCTGCAAAGGGAAAAGTCAAAGACTGTGCAAGCCCTTATAATCCTTGATCAGGACAGACCTGACAATTGCAAGTGCCTCACAGCTTTGGCAGTCATGGTCTGATTTCACCAAGTCCGGACATCAACCCCGCAACCAACCATAACGCCTTTAGCTTCCACCAAGTAGGAGTTTCGGAGCATCCAGACCGACCCATGCCTGCGAGTCTGATGCGGTCTCCTCTTCGCTTTCGTCGTCGCCACACTGGCAATGTCAGAGATGCAAATCGCATTGAACATTGAAAGCGTGGGAGACATGGTGTGAATCTGGGTCTAAAACTTGGAATTTTCATAGTTGGAGGCCGCAGCTGGCTTTTCTAATTCGCAAGCAGGTCGACAGCTGCAAGACGAAATGCACTTTGTCAGCTCCACCGGCTTGTGGCCACAAGCACCCATGGCTCACTGAAGGCTGTCGGTCACAAGCGGAAAACCAATTTAGCAGAAACCTTCCATTGTGAGTCTTACATCGGTAGGCTGCTGCACTTGTATATCTTGCTGATCTTTTCGCAATACTTGTATACACTGAGCTTTCCAGAGAACTCAACCAAACACAATTTTAGTCTGTTTAGTGCAAGCGTGCCTATGCTGAGTCAAAGGCAAAATCTAGCAAAACATTCCAAGCTGATGAGAACACGCATTGATCAGAGCCGAAGTTCCCACGAACATCAAGGTTTCAATTCAAAACGTTGTTCGGAAAAATCGGTCCTGGGGCCACGTGAAGTTCAATGTCCGAGGCACGATACCATGCGTCAAAAGCCTAGCAAAAAAAACACGCACACACACACACACACACACACACGAAAAAACACGCATAAGTTTGTCCCACTGAGCCAACAGGTTCGTGATCTTCGTGGTCCTACAAATTCCCGTCGAGAATCTCCTCTCCGCAGGTGTGGCCACACTACCCAAAAAGAAACCGACACCCCACAACATCGCACCGGGGGTACCTAATGCTATGTTTTTGAACTGGAAATTTTGCTTTCTTTTGACATGGACACCTTGCTCCCCTCAGCTTTTGCTCAAATTTTGCAGCCTTGGTGTACGTTGAATTCGTTCGTGTGGGCACGGCTCGCTGTCATCGTCATTACATCACGCCAGCTGCACAAGTGAATTATCACACTGAAGCACTCACTCCACGGCCATCCACGACTGTTGTCACTGGCACTCGAGACACACCGCCTTCCTTCGATGGAGTTACGCCACTATTTAGGGCCTTTGAGCGCCGCTAAACAATTGACGTAGAGAAAGCAATACGACACTGCACATGAGGGTAACAAACTACAGCACATTGTATAGTTCTGATCTGCTTGGTCCCCCCCCACCCGCACTACCCAGACTCCACTTAGTCAGTGGACTGGAGTCAAGTTCGTCCAATGCAATAACAAAAGCACAGCAGGAGAGACCCAAGCTTGTTTAAGAAGACGACATAAAGGGGACTTAACCCAGTTTTTGGGCGGCCGGTGCCGGCTGGTGCCTGGCCTACTGCTACTACTACGACTGCTACTGCTACTGCTACTACTACTACTACTACTACTACTACTACTACTACTACTACTACTACTACTACTACTACTACTACTACTACTACTACTACTACTACTACTACTACTACTACTACTACTACTACTACTACTACTACTACTACTACTACTTACTACTACTTACTACTACTACTACTACTACTACTACTACTACTACTACTACTACTACTACTACTACTACTACTACTACTACTACTACTACTACTACTACTACTACTACTACTACTACTACTACTACTACTACTACTACTACTACTACTACTACTACTACTACTACTACTACTACTACTACTACTACTACTACTACTACTACTACTACTACTACTACTACTACTACTACTACTACTACTAACTACTACTACTACTACTACTACTACTACTACTACTACTACTACTACTACTACTACTACTACTACTACTACTACTACTACTACTACTACTACTACTACTACTACTACTACTACTACTACTACTACTACTACTACTATTTTATTGAACGCTGAGCGAGCGGGCTCTGCTCATTGCGGGCGATTTGCACCGTCTGAGCACCGAAAATTGGGTTGGAGCTAATGGTTAGGAGAGGTGAAACTGAATTCAATACTGAACAGAAAGGTGAGACTTTACAGGATTTGGGATCGCAAAGACAGAGCTAGCTAGCTAATGTCAGACGAGGTGTAGCTTAGCGCTCAGATGTGAAAATGTCTTCTCCCCGTCGTCCTAATGTGTTTCACTGCGTCCAGCAAACACGCACCGATCTGCAATTGGGTCGTACCTGTTGGCCGTCGCCCATAGTGTCCATCTAGTGGCGTCCCACATGGATCACTTTGCAGAAAGGCAGAGGATCGTAGGAGGATCAGCTGGCTTGGAATAACACATTTATGTGGAGCTTCGGGCAGCGGGCTTGCTGCCGGGAGGGCAACACGCTGATGTCACCTTGGGATGCAGGGGAAGGCGATTCAACTCTTTACGGTATAAGTTCGTTGATGCAGGGTGAGCAGTTTTCCAGCTCTGCGAGTTCCGCTTCGTAGCAAAGGAAGCAGAGCATTGCGCACGCAGACCCCAAATCCCATCCTTATGTGCGTGGAAGGATGTGCTGCTCCGAGTCTCGCGGACTCAGCCGGCGGTCCACCGGGGTAAACCGCTCAATGCGGCAATTCCGGCATCCGCACCTCATGCTTTATTGCAACAGGAACGGCTGAGGCCAGCCACAATCCCTTCTACAATGAGTGGGGTTAATACACCGTTACCGTTTGGGATCTCTGCGCGGCTGCTTGCCTGGAACTGCTCCTCTTCTCAAGAAAGAGTCCGGCACCCGTAGGTGCACCCTTGTGTGATTGGCGATGTCTGTATTTAGTTGGGCCAGCTTCCAAGGCAAAAGCAGCGTGACTTGAGCTCTGCTTCCTGATTCAGACGTAGGGTTCTTTCAAGCGCAGGGTAAGGCAGCTTGCAGAAGTAAGGTGCTGGCAAGCCTGATGAAAGCATAACAGTTGCTGTTTGTTCCGCGAGCTGGCTGGTCTGAAGGTGTGGCGCTCGTATTGCTGTAGCGCAGGCTGTGCCCGCTGAGATGAACTGCAGTGCAGTTCATGTCACGACGGCCTGCCACTGAAAGATTTCAGCAACTGCCTTTCCACTGTCTGTGGACCTGAGCACTTTGCACTTGCGCACCTGGCAGTCCTACTGGCATAGCTGCCTGTGCACCTGACCTGGGAGTCCTGCCAGCCTGGCTGCTGGATTGAGATCTTGGACCTGGGCATCTTGCACATGTGCACCTGGGAGTCCTGCCAGCCCGGCTGCTGGATTGGGACCTTGGGCCTGGGCAGCTGCACTGTACCCCCAAACCCTAAACCCTAAACCCAAAAACCCTAAAACCAAAACCACAAACCCAAAAACCCCAAAAACCCCAAAAACCCCAAGACCCCAGAAACCCCAAAACCTACCAAAAAGCTCACTAAGAAGCTGTCTTTGATTCAGCAATCTGCGGCGAGAGTGATGCTCAGAGGATCACTGCATCGTCACTTGATGCTTCAGGGAATGTCAAAAAGAAGATGTATGAACCATGACGGACTTGTCTTTGATCTGAGTCCGTTGCCTTCAGTGATCGCCGGTGGTCGTCCGTCGAACGCCACTCCGATGTCGGTGTTGACCTCCAAATTGCGCGGTAATGTCCGCTGTGCGGGGTAGAGCCAATGTGAAATACGCAGGACTGCACGTATGCCCGTTCCATGCGTATGGAGCCCTCATACAGTACAGGAACCCGGAGTTCTTGGCTGTAGGACGTGATGGGGAGGTGGTTTTTGCCCGAGCCTGTGAATCTGGCCACTGTGAAAATAGCGTGTTTCTGCTGCCCTAGCAGTGTGGTGTTTGGGGGTACCGAAGCCCATTCGTCAATTAGGAACTGCAGTGGCTTGCTTTCTGAGTGTTGCATGAGCATGACAAGGGGTCCTCCTTCCACCGCCAATCTTCCTGTGGTTAGATCAACGGCTGCCCACCGTCGCGTCAGGGGCAGATCGGAAGCAGCCGTCAAAAAGCCTTGCAAGAATTCTGCCGAGTCTTGCTGCGTGCCATCAAATCGCCATCTGGGTAGTAGGCTCCTAAGCGGGAAGGAGTTGATGAGGTTAAGGGGGGTGGCATCACGAGACTGTGCTGAGGAAGAGATGAGGCTCATTAGAGCTTGCAGTGACCGCAATGAAGGATCTAGAATGGTAGTGGCCAGCAGAGCCTGTATGGTTGCATTGACATAGCAGTAGTTAGAAGTGTTCTTGAGTGCTAGGGCTGCCAGAGAAGAGGAAGAAGAAGAGAGGCAAAAGGCATGAGAAGGATCGCTCTGTAGCTCTGGCTGCAAGGCAGCTGGACTGCTGGGACCGAGCGAGCTAGGAGATGAGAGAGGAGGAAAGAGAGAGGAAGCCGGGGTGGCAGGAGCGGCTGCTCTGAAGAATGATTGCAGGGGGCCAGCGGTGGTCCTGTTGATCCGCAACACGGAATCTCCTAGCAGGATCTGAAACAAAACTCCGCACTGCACTGGATGCTTACGCCTATCTGTGACAGGTTTGCTGCAGAAGGGGCAAGGTCTGACTTTGAGGATCTCTGTCCCGAGCTTTTGACATTGTGTCGTAGTTCGGTCCTGAAGGGCATCCCAAATTCTGCGATGCTCCTGATGCAAGTGCGACTTGACCTTGGTGTGATCAGGCGTCCAGAAGCCACAGAGCACGCAATGATCTACAAGGCGCTTAGAAGCTGGCTGCCTGGCTAGCTGCGTGACGGTATGCGTGCCGGCTGTGCTGGTGAGGTGTTCCCGTGACCATGGATGCACTGGGTCAGTCTGACCTGCTGCTGCGCTCGCTGCATGGCGCTGAGCGTCTATGCTTCGCAGGGCTGCCGGCTCTCTGCAGGCTCCGGACAGAAGATGATCTTTCAGTCCTTTCCAGAGGGTGAAGTTTTTGTGACACGCTGCACAAGTAGGCAAGCCATCCTTCGAATGCTCTGGCAAAAAGTCAGGCGGGATGTACCGATCCAACTTGTCCTTGTGCATTTTGGCCTCGTGTATGTGTAGTCCTTGCTCAGTGGTAGTCTGAAAAGAGCAGTGCCTGCAGCAATGTCTAGGTTCTTCATCCTCTGGGGTTGCTGCTAGTAGGGTCTCATACTCTGCAAGAACCTCTTGAGCGTATTGAAGAGCATTGGGGAGCAGTGCAGCGTCTTGATGGCCGTGTGGATGCTGTGCATCTCTCGAAGCCTCACGCAGTGCTTCAGGCCTGGTTTGGGCTCCCTGTCTGGTTCTGAGCGATCTGACTCTGTTGCTCTGGCGCTCCAGCAGCAGTTGGACGGGATCCTTGATGCCGTAAGCTGCATACAGGTGATGCGTCGATATGCCCGTAAGATGGACGGGTTTGTTGAGGACCGCCCTGATTTTTCTGGCGTGCCACCTTCGCAGTTGTTGCGCTGTCTCCGTCGTGAGCCCTATGTCCACTAGACCCGCCGAGACCGTCGCCCAGACTGTTGTGTGCCAAATCTTCAGTCTGCTTTTCGGACCTGAGAGTCTGCGGTTGTGCACATATCGTCGGACCTGTTGCAACTTGGCATTGCCCTCTTGCAATCTGAAATCTAGCGTCGCTTTTTCCTGGTTACCATAGGAAACATACACGCCAAGGTACTTAAAGGATGTGGACTGCGGGAATGATTCCTGGGCTTCTGTGCTCCCAATGCGCCATCTGCGGTGTTGTGCTCCCTGGGCGTCTAGGCTAATGTGACTGAAGAGTTTGTGTGCACGGGATGAGGCAGTGCCTGTTAGCTTAACCATTATGTGACACTTGTCAGCGTTCACTTTAAAGCCGTATTTTCTGACAATGCGGAGAAGATCGGCTATCATGTTGTGTGCTTGCAGCAAATCTCTCCAGCTGGTGACAGTGTGATGAACAGTCAAGTCATCTGCGTAGCCCGTCAAGCAATGAAGCACGCGATCCCAGCCTACGACCTCTGCGAGTTCTCGAAATAGCTTTCCTGTCAGCAAGGAAAACAGGGTTGGAGCTAGTTTGCACCCTTGCTTAATGCCTGTTGTGGACTCAACAGAGCATGAGGTCTGCTGAGATCGTACCGTGTATCGGCTGTTTGAATGCAGTGATGCCACTAATCCCTGGATGTCTGACGGTACCCCAGCGTCTTGAAGAGTGTCCATGAGGTCCTGGCGGCGAACCATGTCGAAGGCCTGTGATAAGTCAAGCGCAAAGCAGATCCCTCCCGCTAGCTCTGGTTTGCGGTGTCCAGCATGCTGGGAGTGCCTGCTAAGCCTCGACTGCGCGCACATTTGTCGTACCTCTCTGGTATGCTGCGAGACTCTGGAGAGAGCATCAGAAAGTCCTCTTTGAGGTTGGTAAGCGAGCTGTGGCACAGACCTCAGGTAGCTAGAGGTGTAGGGAGCCAGCAGATCGCGGCACGCCCCCGCCAGACCCTTGCCGTCAGGTCTTATAATTCCAAGTGGGCGAAGATTAGAGGGCTTGGTTGGGGGCTTGTTGGGCTTCGGGATAAAACAGAGGTCAGTGTCCTTCAGCTGTGCAGAAAGAATCACTGCCGAGTCCAGCGAGCTGTGCTCAGCTTTGCGGGCTTGGTCGTTGCAGCACGCTGCCAGGTGCTCGCTGGCCGAGTCGGAACATAGCTTCCACGCGGCTGCCGACGCTGAGTTCTGAGGGACAGCCTTGCGCGGTCGGATGGAGCTGATGTGCTTCGAAAGCAGGGGGGCTGAGAGCGTGGGCAGGCTGCAGACTTCAAATCGTAGTCTGTCATGCCGTTGGAACACTGCTTTGGCATGGTTTTGCATGAGCTTGAGTTCCTCTTCTGCATCCATCAATAGCCATCTTTGTTGACTAACTGCGTTTTGGGCTGCGGCTGCCAGGGGCGAAGCTTCTGCAATGTCTTATGGGCCTGATAGGAGTTGCCATTTTGCGTTGATTGGTCTACCTCGTGGGTGAAATCTGCTAGACGTTGTCTACGTGCTCTTGTGACAGCCTGCTTGTGCCACATGGAGAGGTCCTGCACTAGTATCTCGTGATCTGCCCGGGAGAGTGTTGAGCTGGCTAAGTCCTCATCCAAGGCCGTCAACCTAGCCCACATGCGCTTGGTTGCCCTGTGCATCGCATTAAGGGGAGGGGAGGAGGGCTTAGGGGCTCTTGGGAAGTAGCGTTCAGACGCCTTGATGAGCACATCATTAACCTCCTCCATGTCGACCGTGGTGATGTGAGAGAGCTGGTCGGCAACCCACTCTTTCATTGCTTGTGCTTTAGGATGATTATATCGCACCGCCTCTTCGAGAGCCTGCTTATCATAGGGAGGGGGGGGAGGAGGGTGGGAGGAAAGTTGCCAATGCCTTAGGGGGCGAATCTTAGCCTCGACCGGGTAATGTCCGCCTTTTTTCCACCGTCCCAGCGGGAAGTCTGTTAGAGGTTTGCTCTGCTTAAATTCCCCACGCGCTAGTGACTTCGGGACAAGGATGTAGTCTATTTGGGACTCTGAGGTGGCAGTGCGGAACGTCAAGCCCGATCCTGAGGACCATGTGTTGAGCGCCACCAGTCCATGTCCTTGAACGAGGCGTTGGAAATATGCATCCTCTGCTGAGCGATGGGGCGGAGAACCTGGTGTGCAGGTACCTACGATGCCCGCAGTGTAGAGTTGAAATCTCCTAGAACCACCAACGTGTCACGCTGCGGAACTCCTCGGACCGCTTTGGACAAGGATGCAAGACACTTCGATCTGTCCTCTCGGTTTTGCTGGGCTGTTTTGGAGGTGGTCCAAACATGCTGATACACCGTCACTATGTGCACGCGTGCGCCTTTCCATTGGAAGACTGCTTCCAAGACCCTCCCTTTTTGATGCTCGCTCCACCTGATGGTGGCTTTGGGAATGTGCGGGGCCGTGAGTATCATTACCCCGTCCGCCCGTTTATCGTCGTGAACTGGTTGAGTTTGTGGTTGCTGGCCCGTCTGTGTCTCAGAGGCATGATCAGGCACAGGTTGGCTTTTTGCTTTGGGGGCTTTAGCCTTGCCTTTGTTTGCTGAGCTTACGCAATGCCACCCCTCAACATCAAACTCAGTGCTTTCCTGCCAGTGCGTCTCTTGCAGGGCAATCACATCGTACTGATCAGAAGCAGTGCGCAGCCAGGTGCGAAGCTCAGCCCATTGCTGTTGACCTAAGTGCCCGGCGTTCCAGGTCAGCACCCTCAGTGGTTTGGCCAT